GAGAGGAAGTTCCCAGGCTAGTGTGCCTTTTCTTCTTTTGTTCCTTAATTACTTGAGGGATATCTTGAGTGATTTCTTGAGTGATATTCTGAGTACCACTTAGGTGGGTCATTAGGTGTGGATTAGTTGCTAAAGCCTTCGTGTCTTGACCTCTTGAGCTTTGTGAAGAGTTTTTCTGAGAAGATGGCTGTACTGCACTTAGTTGTGCTCTGGCTTGGCTTCGTGTATAGGGGCGAGCTGTGGTTTTGTGTCCTGTGCCAGCCAGATCTGTGTAGGGATTGCAGGGGGGTGCAGCATCCGGAGGTGCCACCATGGTTTGGCTACTGGATGGTGTCTGTAATTTATCTGTGGAGAGGGTGTGGGTTTGGGTCTGGTGTGGTTGATTGGTGATGGCGTTCTGTGTGCCTCTGGATCTGGTGTCGGTTTTTGTGGGGAGGGCTAATTTCCAGATGTCTGGCAGGCGGGATGTGTCGTCACGCTTGTTCATGTTGTGAGGGTGTTTCTCTATCTCGATGGCTTCCATGATTATTCTCTTGTGGTGATGTTCCATGTTAAAGAGCAATTTGGAATCTGCAAAATTAATTTCGTGTCCTGTTTCTTTCATGTGTTGGAAAAGAGAGGAAGTTTTTTCTTCTTTTTTGACGGCATTCTTGTGTTCTGCGATACGTGCATTTATTCGTCTGTTTGTTTGTCCAATGTACGTGGCTGGGCAGACTTTGCAGGGTATTTCATAGACCCCTTGGTTTTACAACTGGATTTTATCCTTGGGGTTTCTGAGGATATTGGCTATTTTTTGGTTGGTGCAAAAGGCTGTTTTGATATTGTGTTTATGGAGGATTTTGCTAATTTTATCTGTAGTGCCCTTGATATAAGGAAGGAGGGCCATGCCATTGTTTTCTTCTGTGTCTTGGTTTTTGGGGGGTGTTTCTTTTTGGATTAGCTTCGTAACCCTGTTTTGCTGGTATCCATTGGCGATTAACACATTTGAGAGATTCTGTAACTCAGTTGTCAAGTGGTCTTTGTCAGCCAGGCGTTTGGTTCTGGAGATGAGAGTCTTGGCTACGGAGTTTATTTGTGCAGGGTGGTGGTGTGATTGTGCATGTAAGTAGCGGTTGGTGTGTGTTTTTTTCCGGTAGATAGTGTGTCCTAGGGAGCCATCAGGTTTTTTGTAGATTAGGACGTCAAGGAAGGGAAGTTGGTTGGAAAATACAATTCACTATGGAAATAGAAGCCAACAACCAACTTCCCTTCCTTGACGTCCTAATCTACAAAAAACCTGATGGCTCCCTAGGACACACTATCTACCGGAGAAAAAAACACACACCAACCGCTACTTACATGCACAATCACACCACCACCCTGCACAAATAAACTCCGTAGCCAAGACTCTCATCTCCAGAACCAAACGCCTGGCTGACAAAGACCACTTGACAACTGAGTTACAGAATCTCTCAAATGTGTTAATCGCCAATGGATACCAGCAAAACAGGGTTACGAAGCTAATCCAAAAAGAAACACCCCCCAAAAACCAAGACACAGAAGAAAACAATGGCATGGCCCTCCTTCCTTATATCAAGGGCACTACAGATAAAATTAGCAAAATCCTCCATAAACACAATATCAAAACAGCCTTTTGCACCAACCAAAAAATAGCCAATATCCTCAGAAACCCCAAGGATAAAATCCAGTTGTAAAACCAAGGGGTCTATGAAATACCCTGCAAAGTATGCCCAGCCACGTACATTGGACAAACAAACAGACGAATAAATGCACGTATCGCAGAACACAAGAATGCCGTCAAAAAAGAAGAAAAAACTTCCTCTCTTTTCCAACACATGAAAGAAACAGGACACGAAATTAATTTTGCAGATTCCAAATTGCTCTTTAACATGGAACATCACCACAAGAGAATAATCATGGAAGCCATCGAGATAGAGAAACACCCTCACAACATGAACAAGCGTGACGACACATCCCGCCTGCCAGACATCTGGAAATTAGCCCTCCCCACAAAAACCGACACCAGATCCAGAGGCACACAGAACGCCATCACCAATCAACCACACCAGACCCAAACCCAGACCCTCTCCACAGATAAATTACAGACACCATCCAGTAGCCAAACCATGGTGGCACCTCCGGATGCTGCACCCCCCTGCAATCCCTACACAGATCTGGCTGGCACAGGACACAAAACCACAGCTCGCCCCTATACACGAAGCCAAGCCAGAGCACAACTAAGTGCAGTACAGCCATCTTCTCAGAAAAACTCTTCACAAAGCTCAAGAGGTCAAGACACGAAGGCTTTAGCAACTAATCCACACCTAATGACCCACCTAAGTGGTACTCAGAATATCACTCAAGAAATCACTCAAGATATCCCTCAAGTAATTAAGGAACAAAAGAAGAAAAGGCACACTAGCCTGGGAACTTCCTCTCTGCCCAGAACATTGGAGGCTATACACCACACCCCCTCAACAGTATTTATAGGAACTCAAACACTGAGATCCTGCTCTGTTCCAGTAACAAGAAGCCGAAAGCACCAGCCTGAAGATGACGAGTGAGACCTCGTCGAAACGTCGCCTAGACACCCCAACTTTTACACGGGAAGACACCCGAGGACACCAAAACCTGCATTCCTGTACCCGTGAAAATCTACGAAAGCATATATATATATATATATATATATATATATATATGTGTGTGTGTGTGTGTGTGTGTGTGTGTGTGTGTGTGTAAAAGGACCCCTGACCATTAGGTCCAGTTGTGACCGACTCTGGGGTTGTGCCGCTCATCTCGCTTTATTGGCCGAGGGAGCCGGAGTACAGCTTCCGGGTCATGTGGCCAGCATGACTAAGCCACTTCTGGCACATGTGGCCAGCATGACTAAGCCACTTCTGGCAGCGCACGGAAACGCCGTTTATCTTTCCGCCGGAGCGGTATCTATTTATCTATTGTACTTTGACATGCTTTCGAACTGCTAGGTTGGCAGGAGCAGGGACCGAGCAACGGGAGCTCACCCCGTTGCGGGGATTCGAACCGCTGACCTTCTGATTGACAATATATATAGTAATGCCTGTCCATTTTTTGGTGAACTGTATATAAATTTAGACCACCCTTGGGGAATGAGGAAGAGAAGGGCAAAATTGGGAATTGTGAAACCCCACTGATGAACTTCACTTGTCCAGGGGTGGACAGTCTGTTGTCAAGGCACAATTTGCACTCCCATGGTCCCAGACAGAAATGTGTGTTTTTCGTGGGGAGCAGGCTGAACACCTATTATAGCTAGCACTAGAATGTCATGTTGTTTAATGCTTTATTTTCTGTGCCAAATATATAATTCATAGTGCAAACTAATTGATTCCTCAAAAACATTCTTCCTCTGGGCACTTTATAATTTTTTATAATTTCATTTGGTGCAGCTTACCTTATGGTTGTGAGGTGGCCATGTGGGTTGCATGTGTCTTTTTCTTTCCATGGAGCATTTCCTCAGTGCTCAGCACCCTCTCCAGCAGCATATATTTCCTGACCTGAAAAGCCCTGTGTGAGAAGTTATATCACTCAACCTCTTAACCACTTTGAAAGTAAGGAATGCACATTAAAAACCCTGCATCTCACCCATGAGAATTTTGCTGGACATTTCTCTCCCCTTTCATAACTTCTTCAAATGCAATTTCATTCACTGTGAACTGAAGAAGAATTTTTGGCACATTACTCATTAAAACAAACTAGCTGTGTAACCATATTTTCTGTGCAAAACATACAAAACTACAATTAACAGTTGTTTGGTAATTTTTAAAGGCAAAAAAATAGTACCATACACTTAGCACAGACTGAGATACTTTCAACCATTTGAAAATGCATTCTGTGTTAATCTACTTCGCAGTACCAAAAAACAGCTCTGCAAAGTGTTTGTACTCAGTTGTTTCTAATTAGTGAATTAATTCATTTATATCAGTTTCAGTTTTGAATTAAGGACTGTGGAAAAAAAAACCACCTTAAGATAATTGAATGCAGAAATTAGTTCATATTTCTTGTAGCTGAGCAAATTAGAATGGAATTTAATATATCCAGTTGGGCATCCACATTATTATTGTTCTGTTACACTGGGATTCAAATTACATCTCTTTTTTTATTAAAAACTTTAGCTTTGACAAAGTTTATTTTCATTCGTATCATTGCAGTTTATTTGCTAAAGAACATTTATTCATAGCTATAGCTATAGATATAGATATAAGATATATTACAAAGAATAACTTTTTTATCATACTATGAGGAAACAGATTAGAAACATTTAATTGCAAACTATAATGAATGCAGCTTTCTCTGTAGGGGCAATTAGTGGTTGGAGAGGAGGCATGACTTGGATGTGCAAGTGTGAAAACAAAGCAGAAAAGAAGTTAAGTTGATACTAGTAATCTATCCTTTAGAGTATTTTAAATTCAGCTCATTTAGACATCCTCTCCATAAAAATATGCAATGCATTGTTTTATTTTCTACTGATTGAGACTGTGAATAGACTCAGAGCACTGCTTATATTACAGTTAAAGTGTGGGAAGTGAAGCAGCATAGCTTATTTTTGCACAAGTTGAAGGAGCTATAGCAGGATAGAAAGCAGATAAAGAAGAATCATTTGATTTTGGTATCAAACAAAAGTCCAAATCAGACAAACAAATATGGTGAAACAGGGTGTTTACATTTGGTGTAAATTTGGCCATAAAATCACTAACTATCAGTAAAATCTGGTATGCCAAGTTTTTCATCTCCATAGTGAAGGGGATTACAAAATTAGTCCATTACTATCATTTGGATTCACGAGCCTGTAATTATTGGGTTTTTGACTTCATTTTCAATAAAATAGACATCAAATTTTAAGGGCATTTCCCCCATAGATAGTGCCTTTTCCAATTACAAAAAGAAACAGTTGAGGAGATGTATTCTAATTTTTGTCTGTAAATCATGTAAATGCTGTTATTAAATACATTATTGATTTTTCTTAGCAGGTGCTACAACCATAGAGAAGTATGATCTCAGGACAAATATATGGATCCAAGCTGGAGTGATGAACGGCAGAAGGCTGCAGTTTGGTGTAGCTGTCATTGATGACAAACTCTTTGTTATTGGAGGCCGAGATGGTTTAAAGACGTTAAACACAGTCGAATGTTACAATCCAAAGACAAAAGCATGGACTGTTTTGCCTCCAATGTCAACCCATAGGCATGGCTTAGGTAAGTATTCAGTTTCCCAAAGCTATCTGTATATATAAAAAAATGTAATCAGCAATGTCAGATGCATTGATCACAAGCAATTTCAGTACATGTGCATATCTATATTTATGCAGAAATGCACGAAGGAACTTAGGTGCAGGCTTGTGTAAACAACTGAAATAATATCTGCATATGGTTGGCATCCTAGAGCATGATAATGACTGGACTTAGCTGGTTCTCAAATAGTTCTGTTGAAGTTGTTGTAAAGTCAGTGGTAAGCCATCGTACCTAAATGATGTGACTAGTAAACAAGCCATGATTGTGGAGACAGCCCAGTGAATAGGACATACATATCACATCCCCATTATGTGTTTGGAAGCCTGGACAGGTAAAAGTATATATAAGAGTGCTCGTGGTACTTTGTGTAAGTGTTTGTCTATGTGTGTACCAAATTCTAGCCCGTTCTGGCATAGTTTTATTATATATGCAACATCAATAGAACATGGTTATAGGGCCACCGAGAACACATGACGATTTGTTGGAATGATACCTTCGTTAAAAAACTGAAATGACTTAAAAGTTAAATGGAACCAAACAGATATTGGTGCTTCTGTGGAGGCAATTGTAGAAATAAAAAAAGGTGTGTATAAATCATTGTTTATTATTTATATGCATTTGAATTAAGAAAAGGACTAAAAAAAAAAAGCCTGTATTTTACTGACTTGCAATATGGTGGCCTTAAAATATTTGTCAGTTATCCTACTGTGAGTAAAAATTGAATCATATCATTTTTTTAAAAATCCTGGGGTGCGTAATCTGTGCCCCTCTGGATATTAGACTACAGTTCCCATCCCCTGCGGCCATTGTCTGTGCTGGCTAGATCTCATAGAGTCCAACAACACCTGGAGAGGCCAATATAAGCTTCCAGTGGTTTGAATCAGTAACTATCCTGTTACTACCCAGATATCCCTAAATTATTTAATCCTCCTTTTCAGAGTATTTCTTTTGTTATCAGACATTCCCTCTATTTCCAGTGTTCAGGTGTCAGTGCTGGATTAGTCAAAACACCACCACAGGAGGGGAATAAAATGGAATATCTTGAAGGAGGGAGTGGCTGGCTAACTAGAGGAATTTCATGTTCAGTTTCCTATTCTAACTCTTTTGACACTTAATATTTTTTTTTAACGAGAAAACAGCTGTCTTTGTTCACATCTACTAAGTTCATTGACACCAAAAATAATAACACGGGTGCATAATTGGCTTTTAAAATAACTGTATACCTTGCACATGGCAACAGAAGATCATAACAGATTGCACATTTTGTAGGTGAACTTCAAAATACTGCCTTAATTTTCAGCTTCTAAATGATGGATTGTTATTTCATTCAAAGAAAGGTCTTTGTAGCTATAGCTCAGTGATCAAACACATTTTTTATAGTTAGAAGGTTGCCGCTTCAGTCCCTGGCATATTCTTTTGAAGGTTCTCAAGCAGCAGACTGGGAGAGACCTTTAGCTGACACCTTGTAGAGTTGCTTCCAGTCAGAGACAATATGAGCTCAATGATCAATGTCTATAGTAAAAGGAAGCACCAGATCTTCAGAAGGAGAGAGAGAGGCTGCAGTCTAGGAAATCTTACTTTTAATAAGTGTTTCTGTTCAAGGATTAGTTTTCCAGGTGCTAAGGTTGTAGTTCTTCCTCCAATAAATGCAACTATCATGAACATTACCTATGTATGGATTATGATTCTGCTACAATGCAAATGGTGAAAAAAGCTTAGCGAAAAATATTTTGCAGCGGTGGTTACAATAATATAGACGCCATTTGGATAGCTTTGAACAGCACATTGTGAGGGGATAACAGCAAAAGACTATGATGGTTGTTCCCCTTCCCTTCCAACCTCTCTCACAACTGGGATACCCTAGGGGGTGCTGGATCTTTAACATAAGGACAACGAACATGTCTCCCAGATTTGAAGGACTTTGAGCTGGAAGAAGGAAGAGGAATAAATTCTAGACTCTCATATTTATGTATCCAGGGGCTTAAATTGCTTGTTTCCCTTATAGCAAGGCTCTTCTAAGGCTCTGCTTTCACTGTGCTTCCTGCCTGGAGAAAAATATGAAAATTCATTTCATTGTTTCTCATGAAAAGTACCGTATTTTTCGCCCTATAGGACGCACTTTTTCCCCTCCAAAAATGAAGGGGAAATCTGTGTGCATCCTATGGGGCGAATGCAGGCTTTTGCTGAAGCTTGGAGAGCGAGAGGGGTCGGTGCGCACCGACCCCTCTCGCTCTCCAGGCTTCAGGAAGCTATCAGCAAGCCTGGGGAGCCCGCGGGAGTTCCTGCAGGGCTCCCTAGGCTGCGGATAGCAGCCTGCCGCCCAGCGCGCCGGGCGCCCTGAAGCAGAGCACACCGCGCACTGGGCAGACATCTGCAGCATGGGGAGCCCTGCGGCAGTTCCCGCAGGGCTCACTAGGCTGCAGATAGCACAAGCTCGGACATCGGCCAGCCCCACAAGCTTGGGGGACAGCACTGAGGCGCAGCGCTGCCATCCTGCTGTTCCTCGACCTGGTTTGGAGGCTGGCGCAGAGCGCCCCATGCGCCGGGCAGACATCCGCAGCGTGGGGAGCTCCTGCAGGGCTCCCTAGGCTGCGGGCAGACATCGGCCAGCCCCACAAGCTCGGGGGACAGCGGGGAGGCGCAGCGCCGCCATCCCGCTGTTCCTCAACCTGGTTTGGAGGCTGGCGCTGGGGAGAAGCGCGCTTCTCCCAGTGCCAGCCCCACAATCTCGGGGGGCGCCTTCCCTCTGTTCCCCAACCTGGTTTGGTTTCCCCGACCTGGCTTTTTTCCTTTATTCCCCCCCCCAAAAAAAACTAGGTGCGTCCTATGGGACGGAGCATCCTATGGGACGAAAAATACGGTAAATTTGGGAAACTTGTTCACAACTTGCATTGTACAAAAAGTTCAGCTTAATTCCTAGCAATGGATTTTTTTCTCGTTGTTTTACCATTCTAGGACAGCCGTGGCACAATACCCTTTCCTCTGCCATAAATTTCTTCCTTTTATAAGTCTATTTCAATTAATTGGCAGTAGATAACTTTAACAATCCTTTCAATCTCTGCAAGATAATTTGTATTGCATTTTAAATCAAGGTCTAGTGATAGTTAGCAATATTCTTATTCCATTTTCTTATTCTTTTAATCACAGCCTATAGCAGTTTAACAACAGGTCTGTCAGTGTTTGCAGTGGATTAAATCACTGTGCAATGGGGACATAGTCCAATCATTTATATCCTTATCAGCAATTTCTTAGAGTTCAACAGCATTTTCCAACAGAAATGTGGATATAATCCCTGCTTATTATGCTGACTCAACAAGTACAGACAGTGATTATTAGCAAAGAAATCAGCGCCTAAAATACATACCTTTGCAATGCTATATTATATATGTCTGGGGAGAAATAAGTCCCACTGAGTTCAATGGGGCTTACTCTCCAGAAAGTGGATATAGGATTGCTGTTTTAGTTTTCCATAATATAGGTTTTCTTGTGCAATTGACATTTGGTTGGAGGTGGGTGGGTTAGATATTATAATATATACTTAAATTGTTGAGTAGTTCTGTAGTACTATCAGATTTAGTCTACCAGACTAAAGCTTCCTCTAAATTAAGGGATGGAGAACTGTTGATCAGTAGTCAGGCTGCTGCATATACTTCTGCCTGGTTTGGCTTGACTACCTGGTATTTGTAAAAGCAGAGGATCCATAAAATTACTTCTACTACAATTAGCAAGTACACTGCTATGCTATTGGAACCTATAATTTGTCAAATGGAATTTTTTCTTCTCTTATACATGAGTGATATAGTCTAGGAGCTATGTATTGACCCTTCTTTTCAACTGAATGATCTTTCTTTTGTATATATTTTACTCCTTACATGCTATTGTCCCCATGCACCGGGGACTATACTGGCTCCTCATTAACCAACCAGGTTGTTGGGAGGGGCCATGTCTAGTTTGTGTTGCCTCTTCTTCTTCAGCTCTCCCCTTCCACCCAAGATAACAGCTCTGTGTGCACCAAGTTGTTTCACAAAACAATGTGACACCTAAGTGTACTTTGACTAGTTTATTATCATTAGTTAAATGAATATTTTTAACTGTGTTTTGTGCTGTGTTTGTATAATGGCTTAATCTTATAGAAATCCAGAGAATTCCTTTTGTTAAAGCCATACCAATGAAAGTATCTCATTTTAAATTTTTGGCCACAGAAATTGTGTTGGTGAATCCAAGATCCCTGTTGTTGTAAATAATATAGCACAGCGTGACCTCAAGGTGAGGTCATTTCAGGTAATGCTGATTTCTAGAGCTGAGATGGAACACTTCACGCAATTGATCTGTTGATACTTCCTTTTATTTTCTGCCTGTTTCTAATGCCAAGAGACTAACCAAAGTAGTCGTTTTTCTCTAGGATATATATTTCCTGTAGATACTCATTGTTCTTCAGGAGTTAAGAGGTAGCTCTGTTGCATAGGTGAGCCCTGTTGCTCTTTCAAACAAATGTTTGTCTCCTTTATGGCACAGCTGATAAACATTATTCTATAGCCAAACTAATGTGATGTGGGAGATGAATTAATTCATTTCCTGACATCTTTTTCTTTTGCTAACAGCAGCCTTGGGAGGGCTGAGAGTTCAGCCAGGGCCATAGCATTGGAGCATGGAGTCTACTCCTTTCCCTTCATGCTATGTCTCTAATCTAAACTGGCTCCCTATTAGCTGTGCAGAGAGAAATATGCATCTATCTATATCTTTATTCCTTATGCAGTCAATAGATTCAGGAGAGCAATAAAAGAAACAGCAACAGTAAAGGGCCTGGAATACTGTGCTGTGTGTGTGGAAGGGAGCAATATGATAAAATGAAGTAAGAGCAAAGAAGGAGAAATAACTGAATGGCCAAAAAACAATCTTCCCCTTCACTTTTGGGAAATAAAAAATGGCTATAACGTTTCCATCTTTTGATAGAAGATAAAATT